AAAAAAGAAAAGGTCAGGCGTAGTGGCTTATGTCTGTAATCTCAGCACTTTGGGAGGTTGAGGTGAGTGGATCACCTGAGCTCAGGCGTTCAAGACCAGTCTGGCCAACGTGGCGAAACCCCATCTCTACTAAAATACAAAAATTATCTGGGCATGGCTGGGCACGATGGCTCATGCCTGTAATCTCAACACTTTGGGAGGCCGAGGCGGGTGGATCACCTGAGGTGAGGAGTTCGAAACAGCCTGGCCAACATTGTGAAACCCCATCTCTACTAAAAATACAAAAATTAGCCAGGCATGGTGGCACATGCCTGTAATCCCAGCTACTCAGGAGACTGAGACAGCAGAATTCATTGAACTCGGCCAGGAGGCAGAGGTTGTAGTGAGCCGATATCGGGCCACTGCACTCCAGTCTGGGTGACAGAGATGAGACTCTGTCTCAAAAAAAAAAAACAAAAAACAAAAAAACAAAAAACAAAAAAGGCTGGGCGCAGTGGCTCACGCCTGTCATCTCAGCACTTTCGGAGGCTGAGGTGGGTGGATCATCTGAGGTCAGGAGTTCGAGACCAGCCTGGCCAACATGGCGAATCCCTATCTCTACTAAAAATACAAAAGTACGGGCACAGAAGGGCAGGATGGCTCACGCCTGTAATCCTAGCACTTTGGGAGGTCGAGGCGGGCAAATCACCTGAGGTCAGGAGTTCGAGACCAGCCTGGCTAACATCGTGAAACCCCGTCTCTACTAAACATACAAAAATTAGCCGGGTGTGGTGGCATGTGCGTGTAGTACCAGCTGCTTGGGAGGCGGAGGCAGGAGAATCGCTTGAACCTGGGAGGAGGAGGTTGCAGTGAGCCGAGATTCTGCCATTGCACTACAGTCTGGGCAACACAGCGAGACTCCATGCCCGTCTTTCAAAAAAAAATTATCCGGGCATCGTGGCGCATGCTTGTAATCCCAGCTACTTGAGGGCTGAGGCAGTAGGATCACCTGAACCTGGGAGGCGGAGGTTGCAGCGAGCTGAGATGGTGCCACTGCACTCCAGCCTGAGCAACAGAGTGAGACTCCGTCTCAAACGAAAAAAAAAAAGAGAGAGAGAAAGAGCTTTGAGATCCAAGGAGGGAGTTATGAAACTGATAATGCCCAAGACTGAGGCGTATCCTTTTCAGAAGGCAGGCATATATTCAGGTGGCAAACTATAGCACCTCTATTCTTGGCTACAGACCAAAAAATAGCCCACCCAACTTGGTCCCACTGAGAATATTAAACTTACCCTGTAAGCATCTCATACTCCTCCCAGTCACAGTTTGGGAGAGGCCCTGCCCTTCCACAGGGCTGGAGGAAGATACCCATTTATAGTCACGCAGGCAGGTTTGCAAGACCGTAGCCTTTACTGTGGTCCCTGAAGCAGTTCCATGACAGTTCAAGGCCAGTTCTGCCTACATAGAAACCCACACAGTGACCTGGCAAAATCCTCTTTGATGCTCAGTGAAAACCATACTCAATGACATCCTGATGTAATGCTTACCATTTGCAGACATGACTACAGAAACCTGCCTAGTGACTGCCCTACAGATCAAAGTCCTGAAGGATATTCAGCCTGTCCAAAAATAAAATGCAAATTACACCACAATCCCCTTGTAACAAGCCAACTAAACACTAAAGTAAACCCTTATGCAGACATAGCAGCCTTGTGAGCAACCTACAACCCCTCTTCATTACAAACCCAGAGGGCATCCCATTATCCTGGGAGCCCAACAAAAGATCTTTACCTCCTGAAACCAGTTGATAAAAACTTGAAGAGGTGTTTGCTTCCTGAAATTCACAGACACCAGTGCAAAACTATATTGTGCCCAGTGTCAATGCTTCTATTTTAAAATAGCACTGGAAGTATGCAGCAGAATAGTCAAAAACAATTTTTAAAAAGCCATTAAAATGGAAGACAAATAGGTAAAAAGTTGCTGTTTGTAGATCATATAATCTCATATATAAAAAATCATACACAGTACATTTAAACATGTCTAAACTAATTAATATACTCAGTAAATTAGCAAAATATAAAATTAACATACATTTATAAGATAAACTTACACTTCCATAAACTTAAACTATCTGATAAAATAAAGGAGGAAAACAATCTCATGGACAATAGCATTAAAATAATAAATTTCTTAGAACAAATTTAACCAACGATCTAAAAAACCTTTACAATAAATGATATATCAATGGAGGAAATTAGAAAAGACACAAATTTTAAAATATTTTGTGCATATGGATTGAAAGAATAAATATTGTTAAAATGCCATATTATCCAAAGTGATCTACAGATTCAATAAACTCCCTATCAAAATTCCAGTGGTATTTGTTTTCACAGTAATGAAAAATACAATCATAAAATTTACTTGAAACTTCAATAAGCTCTGAATAATGAAAGTAATCTTGAGGAAAAAGAACAAAGCAGGAGGACAACATACTTTATAATTTCAAACTGTATTTCAAGACTATAGTAATAAAAACAGGATGGAATGTGCAGAAAAAAATGAACAAAAAAATGAAACAGAAACCACTACTCTCACATATTTCAGACATGTAGAAAGAAAACTTAAAATAATAGTTTAACATAGAGTTTCTTAAAATTTCACAGATATTTATGTGTCCGCCAAAACATTAAAAAAGCAGATTTTGTAGTCTTGTATATGCCAAAAAGGGGACTTTGGCTCTCACTGAAAACTAGAAAGATAACTGAAGGGAAAGTATATTCCTTAGAAAAGTTAGAAGGATAAGACAAAAGATACCCCTATATAAGAGAAAAAATAAAATAAAAAATAAACTTCAGGCTTCCCTGAAACTATTCTCCTTGGAGCACAACTCCCAAATTGTATTTCTTATTTTTATTCGTTTATATATTTATTTATTTATTTATTTGAGATGGAGTTTCACTCTTGTTGCCCAGGCTGGAGTGCGATGGTGTGATCTCAGCTCACCACAACCTCAGCCTCCCGAGTAGCTGGGACTACAGGCATGCGCCACCACACCCAGCTAATTTTGTATTTTTAGTAAAGATGGGGTTTTTCCATGTTGGTCGGGCTGGTCTCAAACACCCGACCTTAGGTAATCCACCCGCGTTGGCCTCTCCAAATGCTGGGATTACAGACACGAGCCACCGCACCCGGCCCCAAATCGTATTTCAAAAACTGACTTTCTCCCTGACATATGGACCTCTCATCTGTGTCATCTGTTATATTCACTATCACCTACCTGGGGGTTTGGCCACCATCTCATGTCTCTCCATATTCCAGGGTTCTTTGCCTTGCTCCAGACAGGTGATCAGGTCTGGCTTAGAGACAGCAATACCTGTTTTATTAAAAATAAATAACATGAATGTTGCTCATATTCTTCAAATAATGTGCTCGGTAAAGAGAGTGTAATTAATAGAATAGTAAATTAATTACAAAATACTAATTTAAAACAGAAATTTCTAAATATTTAGACTTTTTTTAAATTTGTAGGTTCTTAATTTTACTACTTAGTATTACTGAATGAAAAACTGGAGATGACAATTAGATTTTAAGGTATACAAAACAATATTTTATGCCACTAAATTTCTGGAATTACCACTAATTTAGAGGGAAGGATACAGATCAGCTCAGAAATGTAAAAAGTCCAGATCAAGATGAAACATCTTGAATTATTTTTTCCTACACTGACAAATCCCCAAGATTTTCTTTCTCTTTTTTTTTTTTTTGATTTGGAGTCTCACTCTGCCACCTAGGCTCGAGTGCAGTGGAGCAATCTCGGCTCACTGCAACCTCTGCCTCCTGGGTTCAAGTGATTTTCCTGCTTCAGCCTCCCAAGTAGCTGGGACTACAGGCGTGCGCCACCACAACTGGCTAATTTTTTTTTTTTTTTTTTAGTTGGGGTTTGGTTTCACCATGTTGGCCAGGCTGGTCTTGAACTCCTGACCTCAGGTGATCCACCTGCCTTGGCCTCCCAAAGTGCTAGGATTACAGGCATGAGCCACTGCGGTTGGCCCCCAAGATTTTCTTAGAAATAGAGATCTGATACTCATTTATACAAAGATCAATTACCAAAAAACATTCTACAAAAAAAAAAAAAAAAAAAAAATCTTTAGGGTATATTAGCAATTGTATATTGAAGTTATTCTCACCTAGGAAGACCAGGTTTCTGTAGTTCTCTAACATCACGTTCCTATATAAATTCTGCTGTGCAGTGTCCAGGCATTGCCACTCCTCCACAGAGAATTCTATGGCCACATCCATAAATGTTAACGGTCCCTGAAAAGTACACACACACATATTTACCAAGTGGCCATGGGCGAAATTTTTAATTTGACTCAAGTTGAAATGAATGACTAAAAAGTACTGGTTCTGCCTTATAAAAGTGAATGAAATTACCCAAATGAAGTAATTTTAAAGACAGAAATATTATCTGATGTACTCTCTAACTCTGAGAAAAGACTAGAATAAGATCCACAACATCAATTTATATATGATACTTTTCTGGATAATAAAATATAAAATTAAGGGCACGAACACAAGCATGTACATTCTGGAGTGCTATATTCACACTATACAGAATGAGTTCTGTTGAGATGAAAGACATGTTGAGTTACAAGGTACATTTCAAATTTTAATGTGTAGAATAAACTGGAAATCTTTTTAGGCTTTTTTTTTTTGCAGAAGATCTGGAATAAAGTCTGAGTTGCTGAATTTTTAATATGTTCACAAGAAATGCCAATGATTTTGCCCCAAGAAAAATATTTTATCAAACATCCAATAAGTGAAATAACCTGTTTTTCCCCCCCAGTTTTCATGGCCTATAAGAGAGATATGACAGTCTTCATTTTCCAAAGACAAATATATGGAAAGAAACCTTAAGAAAGAAGAGCAGCTGCCAGATTACATTTGATAATTTATACAAATCAGCTGCATAAAGATACTTAATAACGAAGAAAAAAATAACACTACAGCGAAAAAATTTGTCAGAGAGCTCTTTAACCGAGTGAATCATTAGCATCAACTGCACTAGGACAAATTTTCATAATGTGCTAAAACACTCAAAAGGACACAGCATTACTGCTGAAATATTGTTCCCAATAAGTAAATTATAGTCTAAATTCAACCATATTGAAACAACAGTTTTATGCAAACTTCAAGATACAGGTATCTTCTATCTTGATACAGGATATCTCAAAATACAGGAATCTTCTATTCAAGATCTTCTATGTTCTGTAATGTTTAATAGTGATTTTAAGCAGTCTTTCTTTAGCACTCTAGAGAACAGGTACCTTCTGATAATATTTTTTCAGAACTTTCTGGATAATAAATGCCATCCTGTTTAAATAAGCATTTTCTAAATTCTGTTCTGCATAGCGCTAATAGCAAACACAAATGGAACTTCAACATTACATATTCTCCACCCTTACTAAGGATCCCAGCTTTTCCCCAACAGTAATCTTTGAGTATCCACACTTTTCCATGTTCAACAGCCACAAAAAGAACACTTTTAATACTGCAGATCATAAACTAATGGTGAGAATTCTGCAAGGCATATAAAAAGGCATAATTTAAAAAATTCATAAAAGACTCTGGTATATAGGAAAGAAATATTTTTCAGAGACCCTTGATTATCATAAGAATTTTTAAAAGTAGTTAAAACAAACTCATTAGAGAGAAAAAACCACAATTATAGAAGGCAAGGTTTGCAAGTACCAAACACATAGCATTCCAGGAGGCAGAGCGGACACAGCTCTTGATCTGAGACATGTTTAGCTGAAAAAAAAAGTGCCACTTTTTCCTCTATCTCCTCCTTCTCTGGGATTTATTTTCAGATGAGATTTTCTAGACCAATTACACCTGCATCTTGAGAACATTTCACCTGTTTACATGCTATGGCCACACCCACAGGCAGAAGGACCAACATCCTCAGAAAAAGTTCACCCATTTCTGGGTGAATCTTCAGAAAAGATTCAGAAATAATGAAGTGAAAAAGAGAAGTTTCTCCTTTCCCGTCCTTAGGTACGCTCCCCACCACAGACACCAGCAATTTCTGCTACAATAATGGTAATATGGGCCACGCTGCCCCGTCTTTACTAAACCCAAACAGAACAGGCCCTGTGACCATCCTTCAGCGGAAAAATAAAACATAACTCTCATGAATGTATCTTGAACCCCTCATAGTTGATTCTGGCCTTACCTTAGAGTCACACGAGGCACTTAATTAAAACAACATAAACTTGTCCACACAAAACAAAAAACAGAACCTGTGAAGAGGGCACAAGTAAAGGGATTTCTAATAATTAGCCATGTAATCTGAGTGTCTACACCTAAGTAATCCACATTGCTTAGAATGGCAAAAATGTCAATCAACTTTTGCACCAACCTAATAGAAGTCCGGCTGATAACCATTTAGCTAAGCATTGCCTTGCAATTTTTTTTTGAGATGTTTTGCTCTTGTCACCCAGGCTGGAGTGCAATGGTGCAATCTCTGCTCACCGCAACCTCCACCTCCTGGGTTTAAGAGATTCTCCAGCCTCAGCCTCCCAAGTAGGTAAGATTACAAGCACCTGCCACCATGCCCGGCTAATTTTTGTACTTTTAGTAGAGATGGGGTTTTACCATGTTGGACAGGCTGCTCTCAAACTCCTGACTTCAGGTGATCCACCCACCTCGGTCTCCCAAAATGCTGGGATACAGGCATGAGCCACCATGCCCAGTTGTCTTGTAATATTTAATAAGCATATAAATCACTTGGTAACTTTGGACTTTCCCTATGTAATGTGATTCTGCAGGTTTTCAAAGGGTTCATGAATGTGTTTTAAATAAGTCCCCTGTCAATGCTGATGTTGCTGCTTCTAGGCTCATCATTAGCATTAGTTAGAGAAGCAGGCACTGTCCCTTACACTCAGCACTCTTGTCACAACACAAATACTTCTGGCACAAATGAAGACAACTAATCTCCATCTTTAAGTATCATATTCTTTGCTGGTTCTGTAAAGTTTACAGAGGCAACATAAAGTAGCAACGCCTGTGCTCAAGAGTATGCTACAGAGCACTATGCTTGGAATAACACATTATGTGATTTAATTCTCATAACAAACTGGGAGTTAGCACAGATGTTTAATAATTCCCAGGATTTAGATTAAGGGCTCAGCATTTTTATTTCGTCTTCCGTTTCTCTGTCCTTGGTTTTTAAAAAATGTATAGAATACTAAATATTGACAGATGAGAGGGATACAGAAAGAATTTAATGTAGTTTAAAGAAATTTTTATTGTGTTCATGTTTACTTGTTTGTGACTTGTGGAGCAACTACTGGATCTGCAGGAATAGAAAACAAGTTACTAAATAAAATGTCTCTGCAAGTATTGGTTTAACAGAAAATTTAAAAATTAAGATGCTAAAATACATACTTTATTTTTCTAATTTTATCTTTTCGGGTTTCAGAAAATTGTGAGCACCAGCTCTAAAAAATGTAACAGATTCACCAGCCAAAACTTCCAATCAGTCAGTTCTGTGAGGCCAGACTTCAAGGTGGGGCCAGACAAAATAAGAGGTAAAATGGCTGATTGCTACCCTGTGAAGTTTGTAGAAATCTGAAGTGACTGGAAGCCTGAGAGGAAAAGGCCCCTCTAGAGTAAAGTTTGGCTGGAACCGTATGTGTTTATATCATGTCTAGTAATTCTAGACAATGTTTGGAAAATATAATTAAAAGAAAAAATTTCTCCAGCCCTAGAGAAACTCCAAAATGATAGAGCAGAAAGTAAACTATTTCATTACACAATTAAACCAGAATGTGACATGCATCACAGTCAATCTTCTTAAGAGACTGCAAAGACAGAAAGACACTCCCATAATTAGTCCACAAGTAAAAGAATTCACAGCACCATGTAACACATGGTTCATCCTAAATTCACCTGGTAATGGGGGAGGCGATCCATGTATGCTAATTGGTTATATTCAATGACAAAATTAACTTTTCACATCCTCATGACAGGAAGTAATTTTGCAACTTAGTAGACTCTGCTTGTCCTTTCCTGACAGCCAGTGTCCTCTCTTGACTCCTACCACAGGGCTCACAGCTGGCAGCTCACATCTTACATGAACCCCAACTACCAGAGCAGCACTCTAGTCCCACATCAGATAATGAAGCCTGAGGTGCAGGAGGAGAGCCTTCAGTCCTCCTAGGTAAAATTGCACCTTCACGATAATGGGAATGGGAGCAGTGTTTCAGCTTCAGTTTCTATTTATAATGGTGACATGAAAAAAATACTGCTGGATTTTCAGCATGAGTCTACATAGAGAGTTCTCCCTGTGACAGCCCACCTCATTCACAGACACCACGGGATAGTAATAGGGCTTCTGAAACAGACATCCAAAGCACTGGAGAGAAAAATCGCTCTTCATCTTAGCAAAATTATATTGAGAGTACAAAAGAAGAGCATCTTTAAAAAAAAAAAAACTCAGGGCCGGGCGTGGTAGCTCAAGCCTGTAATCCCAGCACTTTGGGAGGCCGAGACGGGCGGATCAAGAGGTCAGGAGATCGAGACCATCCTGGCTAACACGGTGAAACCCCGTCTCTACTCAAAAGAATACAAAAAAACTAGCCGGGCGAGGTGGCGGGCGCCTGTAGTCCCAGCTACTCAGGAGGCTGAGACAGGAGAATGGCGTGAACCTGGGAGGCGGAGCTTGCAGTGAGCCCAGATCGTGCCACTGCACTCCAGCCTGGGCGACAGAGCGAGACTCAGTCTCAAAAAAAACTCAGATTAGATATAGGATTAATCATGTTGGCCAGAAAATGTTCCCCTAAAATAAACATCTCTCTAAACACCCAAACTGCACAGCTACTCTCAGCATGATAAGCATGAGCATTATGAAGAAAGGGGACATATCCTCAGCAAAATTTTATAAAATTTCTCTTTTATCTCTGCTGCTCTCTTGTCTCCTAGCCATTAAATGGGGGATTTATATTGGAATACATCTGACAATTTCCAACAGCACTTTTTATTTATTTATTTATTTTTTGAGACACAGTTTTGCTCTCTCACATATGCTGGAGTGTAGTGGTGTGACCTTAGCTCACTGCAACCTCCACGTTCCAAGTTTAAGCAATTCTCCTTTCTCAGTCTCCTGAGTAGCTAGAATTATAGGCGCCCACCACCACCCTCCACTAATTTTTGTATTTTTAGTAGAGACAGGGTTTCACCATGTTAGCCAGGCTGGTCTCAAACTCCTGACCTCAAGTGATCTGTCTGCCTTGGCCTCCCAAAGTGCTGGG